GGTGGCTCAGTGACCTTGATGCCCTCTATTTTGTGATTCTGCCATCTCAACTCTGTATTGCAGTATGGCTACAGAGCAGGGGGGAGGAGTCTAGGCTCACTGGCTCCTGTGTCTCCTTTACCCATTGGCCAGGACCAGTCACCTGATCTCCACTTAACAGAAAGGAAGTTGAGAAATATAGGGCACATGGGATATTTAGGGAATATTTACTGTCCCTTTCATAGTCATTTCCTTCCATCTCTCTAAGACTCATCGCCAGGTCCTTATTTAGTTCTGGAGTGAGACCTGAGTGGGTGGATGAATGGCCAAAAAGAGGCAGTAAGCAGAGACAGATTGGGGTGCTTAGGGCTCTTCCAGTATCATGGGATTATAAGAAGTGAGAGCTGAAGGACCCCAGGACGTCCAGCCCCACTGAGTGAATAAGGAACCAAGGACCAGGGGAGTGGTGAAGGGATTCACCTAAGGGCAACCAGGCATTAGGTATCCAGGAGGAAAAGATTCCACCTCCTACCTCTTGGAACAACCTTGTTGGCAAACAAGCCTATTTTAAATACACCAAGGAAGCTCCCTATTTAAAGATAATCTGTGCAAAAATCTACCCTTAAGGTACAAAATCATTTGATAAACTGAGTTTTAAAATTCTAAGCATATTATATATGAGTAAGGTTAAGTGTATAATGAGATGCTCATAAATTCAAATCATGTTGTGTACATCAAGGCCACCAAACTCAGGGATGGCTTCAGAGAGCTCCTCCAGTATATTTAACTTGGGAAAAGGTGTTTCTTTCAAAGTGTGTGTCTCTCTGTGTACAGCCAGTACTGCCATTTTTCAGTTTAGGTGATGATGAGCATTTTAAGATGATTTATGGCCATTTTTACCCACCCTGTCTCCTCCTTCAGCTCATAGTTGTCTTCCCTCTGGGGTGACTTGGGGAAGGTGTGCACCTTAATGTCGCCTTCATTAGGCCAAACTTGCTGTATGTTTGGAGGATTAGGACAAGCGAATAGAAATGTGGAAGATGTGGTTTCTGACCCTGAGAAGATGAAATGAGGAAGTTCATTGCTCTGATGTCCCCTTACACTCAAATAACATATTTGTAAAACACAACTTCAAATTGTTTGGGCCTGTCTCTCTTTAGCAAATCAGTTAAGCTTGTGGGCTCAGGAGAAAGCTGGCAGCGTTGTTGATACCAATGTCATTTCACTGGTTCTAGGCTGAAATTCTGGGAAGGTTTCAAGGACAGCCTGTGTCTCTCTGGAATATTATATGTGACATCCATAAAAGACATCCACCTCTGAAGAAAGGAAACTGTATTATTTGGGGGCGGGTGGGTGTCAAGAAAAGAAAGTCCCCAGGACTTTCTCCTCCATTTCTGTACCACATGGGGGCCCCAGATACCCCCAAAGTGAGGGTGTGCTAAGCATGGAGATGCCTCCCTGCCCGCATCCCAGTGCCTGGGCCCCTTGCGACATCTCCGTCTCTAGTTGCTGGCAAATCGATTCCTCCTTTCACAGATAAGCAAGAAAGAGCAAGTGGCAAATTCAAGGCTAACCTCTGTCCATCTGTCTACTTTTAGTCTGCCCTGCAACATACTTAGAGAGTCTGAGCCTAAGGCGATGGAGATCACCCATAATCCCAGCACTCTAGGAGGCTGAGGCAGGAGGATTACAAGTTCAAGCACAGGCTGGGCAATTTAGCATATTGCTGAGAATCTAAAATATCTCAAAATAATAAAAAGGGGCTGGGGATACATCTCAATGCAAAGGCTCTGGGTATAATCGCCAGTATAAGAAATGGAGGGGGGCGGAGAGAGAGAGAGAGAGGAGACAGAAGACAGAAGACAGAAGGCAGACACTGCAAGTTGGAGGAGAAAGAAAAAAAGAACTCTAACCAATCTTCAGACCATCTGACAAAGGATCACAGAGATGACTCTTTCTTTCTGCGGCCTGCTTTCTGGAGTGGCTGGGGAAGGACCATTTTGTCTGCAGCCTGGCCAGGTGACTGTCTCTCATTGGCTACTTGTGTAGAGCAGAAAACAGAGGGAAGGAAAGTGGTCCTGCGGTTTGTAGAGGGGCTGCCTTGACCTCTCTCACACTGTGGAGGGAGCAGGCATGGAGAGTAGCACATCTCATCCTCCAAGTGAGCTTCGGGTTCTTGGTGGGCCCGGGCCCAAGTCAGCAGGCAGTCTTGCCAGCACCCACCCAGGCACCAACTGGACTGCACACCCGGGGCCCCAGGAGTGTGCAGCTGGACCAGACTGGCCCAGCCTTCCCTGCACTTGGCTTTCCGCCTCTCTGGACACTTCCTGGGACCACCCACCATTCCCCTTCATCGTGGCTCAGAGTTTGTTTTTCTAGGAGGATTAGTCAAAGAGTAAACGCCATAGGCCTCCTGGCCCTCCCAGAAAAAGCCATTTCTGTGTAAAGTGAAAATTAGCCCCTTAAATCTGCAAAGAAAGCTGTTTATCTTACAAATTTATTCTTTTTATTGGGCCACACATATCCAAGATAGAAAGATAAAAGGAAAACAGATATGAGCCATCACTTAGAGTGACATATAGTGAGGACTGCTCATCGGGACTCTGCACAGCCTTTCAGAGCAATGCGTCCCTGCCTAGTCTCTGTATTTATCTAGAATGCACTCTGGGCCAGCACTACCAAAAACTCCAATAGAAACATGTCCTTCATCATCTCTCCTGCACCACCTTGCTGCTGTTCATAGAGGGGAACCATGGGTAAAGCTTCTGGGGCAGTTCATGGGATGGGAGGACCTGGAGGAATTTACCTTCAAAAGGCTACACCTGCTAACTGTAGCCTGCAGTCAATATTGGGGACACTTAGGTCTGCTTGTAATTCAAATTGACGGTCACTGGCTTCCGAACTTAAATTGGGTGTCTTAACTATGTTTCCAGTTGCACTTGGGCAGAATTTTAATCAGACTCATCATTGCTGAAGCTGACCTCGTGATTCCAGCAAGAGGAAAGCTGGAGGTGCCAAGAGAGCAAATGCAGCCTGTGGTGGGTTGGGGTAGGTGGTGGGGATGTGAGAAGGAAATGACATTTCAACTGTTGAGACCTAGGTTGGTTGGCTTGGAATGGGTATCTGGCTATTGCTCTTCTAGGCCATGATAAAGTGCCCTGGTAGCAGCCCCTGGTAGACTGTACCTGCCGGCTGTGGAATATCCCATGGGGCTGGGATGTATGTGGGCCATTTGTCTGCATGACTTTGCCACACTCAAGCTTGTTTGTCCTAATCCAGAAGCCATCATTGGTAGCCTTTCCACATTCATTAGTATGATCACAAATCTAGCACTTGCTGGGGTTAAGTGACTGACTTTGAGTTCCAGGTGGGGGTGAGCTTAGTCTTCCTTCTTATATGCAGATGCAACTGATTATGCACAGATTTTTAGTATATGTCCTGCCGAAGCGAGCACTATGCACAGATTTTTGTCTATTAGAAAATATGTCTGAGTAATTATACCATTTGGATAGGCCTTCCAATAATGTAGGGAGGAAGAATGGGATTAAAAATGGGCTTTCAGTGAACTTTCCCAGGGTAGTAATCTGGTCATCCATGGTCCCAATGCAAGGAGGATTGTCTAAGCCAAAGCACTTCGGCACTTACTTGCAGCAAACACCCAAATAAGAATTAAGTGTATTTGCCTTCTTCTTGTTCGTGGTCTATAAGTCTGTCCCTTTTGGCCATTAGCAGAGAACACCAGGAACGGATGTTTTGCAGAATAAAAGCCATTTGCATTTCCCATTGCTTGGAAGGTACAAATCTTATTTATTCTCATCTCTGCAGAATTCACAGATCTGCTCATTACCCCAGAAGGTTCCCTTGTTCTCACAGTGGGATTTACCATGAAGCTAGAGAGTGAGCTGGAAACTGTGGCAAGGACACCACTAGGCTCAGGAGCTGGGACTCTGTGCCAGGCCTTCAGCCTCCAGCTCAGCAAGGAGACCTGGGATCCAGGAAGAAGGAGCGAGTCCAGAATTCGGTCTCTCGCCTGCCTCTCTCCTTGGAGATGCAGATTCCCAGCTCTCATCCTGCTCCCCCAATGTCGCCTGTGCAGCAGTGTGATGTCAGGCCTCGGGTATTGCAATAACATATCCTCCAACCACTAGATATTTTCACAGTTTTATTTACTATTATGTCCCATCATTTTTGTGCAGAAGGCAGCCGTATGTAAATTTTATTCCATTTTCTAATGGCTTGGGTTACATAACAAATAACAGCAGGAAGGAAAATTTGTATTGATACTTTACAGAGGAACTTCTCAAGTCACTGCATGGAGATTTAAATGCAGTGTTCTAAGTTTATGTGAGTTTTGCAGCTGAGTTTCTGCACATGACTTTGAATATGTCACTGTATGTTTATCATAGGCTAATTGTGGAGCCACATTTCCATACTTTTTCTTCTCCTTTTCCTGAGATTACACCAGCCAGCGATAGATACAAGACTCTACAAGGAAGAAATGATCAGTTTTGGGTAATTTTCTTTCCTGTCCCAAAATAGCTGTATGTCTGCATGTCTTAGGGAATCAGCTGAGATACTTTTTTTTCTTTCCATTTGTTGCTGGCTATAATGAAAATAATGATTTTTTTTTTTATCCTGTAGTGAACTCTCCAGCTAATCCATATTATAAATTAATCAGATTCAACAAACACCCACATTTTTAAACTTCTGAAAAAAATATTTAATAGGAACTAAGCAAAAGAAGAAATCAAACCAGCTGCTGACACAGCTGTTTCTTCTCTTGTTTAATTCAGTTCAATATAAAGGTACCATATGCTGCTTAAAATGATGATAGGAAAGATGAAATAATTTAAGAGAATAACAAGAAAATACATGAATTGTCAGCATTCTGTCAGATTTAAAGAATGAAATAGACAGGTGTAGTATTGACATGTTTAACTTTGTGTGGTGTTAGCAGTTTTGGTGCGAACAACTTCTGACATGTGCTGAAGTGATGTGAGAATGTTTCTCCTCTGCTGCAGACATCGGTGAGGAGGCTGGGAGATCTGCCGGTGTCCAGCAGCCGGCGCTGCTCCGAGACAGGAGCCTGGGCTCGGCCATGAAGGACTGCCCATACTGCGGGAAAACATTCCGGACATCCCATCACCTCAAGGTCCACCTGAGGATACACACAGGTGAGAGATCTGGGTGTGTCCAGAGCACAGGCTCCTAGGAGGAGGAGGAGGAGGAGGAGGAGGAGGAGGAGGAGGCGGCGGCTCGTGAGCAGCCATATTTCTGACCCAGATCCACAACTTTGTTGGTCCATGGGCCCCTCTGTGTGCCACTGGGTGAGTCAGGAATGACTCTGATTCCAGGATCTGTTGCTCAAAACCAAAGTGCTTCATCACCCTCCCAAATGGCACATGAACACAAAGACGTAACTGTCATGCTTTGTCATAGCTCAGTTTCCTTCTGCTGTGGGGACATAGCACCTCCAGACACCCTTTGTGAACCAGGAGTCAGTAATGAGATCCAGTTGAACCTTTCTGAAATTTAGAAGGGTATAAGGGGCTCTCCCAAATGTCCAGGAAAAGGCCTTTGGCCCAGCCTGGGTCACAAGGCCATCCCTAGGGCTGACCACATAGAGCCAGCCCCTCACACTACATGTCCTGGAGGTTGAATGGCTTTCTGCTGGGTCTCCTCAAAGGACACATCAAGATGCTTTTGCCCATGTAGAGGGAAATGGCTGCTGGGCCCTCTGGTCATTTTTCCTGTTTGGACATCATATCAGCCCCTTTCAAGGAGGACATTTTTTCTGTCTTGTCCCTCAGCCACTGTCCTTCCTGGCTTTTCTGCTAGTTGTTTGTACGTTGCCAATATATAAAAAAAATCTATCTAAGATATGGACACCTCCATTTTCTTTGATTTTTCTCCTGACACTTTATCTATTGGAGTATGAGCTGCTTCAGAGGATAGACAAATATGCCATCTATTTTCAAAAATAATTGTGGTCTATTTGCCAAGGAATCAATAACGCTCAGGGTTGTGCAGGGATATTGAGTGCATACTGGCTTTGTGTGCATAGCGTGGTTAAGGCTGAGGAGCCCCACACCTGGAACCTCACCTGGTACTCACAAATCTCCCTGACCTAGAGAGGAGCCCTGAGGACAAGTGGCAGTGGGCCTGCCTTCTCCCTGGTCGCTGCAGGTACAAACATCTTCACTGCCTGTTCTTGTCCTGGAGTATGACTCTCGTGGAGTCATCTCAGCCAGAGCAATTTTTGAAGACTATGCAGGGGTCCCACGGTCTCCCATGTGGCCCCTCCCTCACTTCCCAACCTGTCCTGCACTGGTCTTCATCCTTAGCATCTCCAAAATGAAACCTCCCTTGCCTTCTTTCTGTTCCTCCAATCCAGAATGCTGGTCCTGCAGTGGGACCTTTATAACACCACTGCCTCCATCTAAAAACTTCTTCTCCAGGTGATCACTAGGCTTAATGTGTTCTGTTTGGAGAAACCATCTTTGAACACCCTGATCAAACTATCCCTCACTCCCTGCTTTATTTTTTTGTAAAGCTAACACACTGAAGCAACCTTGTTCAGCTCTGTTGTTTCCTTATGAATGTTTGTCTCCCAGAAACTAAGATTTGTGAGGGTGGCAGTTTTGTCCATTTTTAAATTGCTATCATTTCTATAACCCCAGGGCCTGCAAGAGCACCTTATACTGAGTAGGGTCGCAGGGAATTTATTGGAAAACCTGAATGATGAAACAAATGCTGGGTTAAGGGAGTGACTCTCCTCTTGTCATCCCCCAACTGTTCCAGGATGAGGTCAGGTCCAGGGGAGCACATGCACCCTTCAGAAGTGCTGGGGTCAGAAGTCCTGGGGGTGATGGAATGGAGAGCCCCTTCCCCTAGGAGTTCAGGGAGGGGCCTCTGAGCTGTGGCCTAGGTGTCTTTTCATCTGGCACTTCTCTGCCAGACACCTTCCTTCCCCTTCAGGCTTTGTTTGCTACCAGCACTTCCTTCTCACTGAGGCCCTCCCTGCCCTCCTGTTTGACAACACAAGAAAACCCCACCAGTACTTTCTATTCTCCTTCCTTTGCCTGCTTCAGATGGGAGCTCCTACCCCATCTGACCTGTGACATACTTTATTTATTCATTTATTGGAAGTCACTGGTATTGAACCTGGACCTACATCCCCAGCTTTTTATTTTTTATTTTGAGACAAAGTCTCACTGGTTCCTAAATTGCTCCTCCTGCCTCTCCTTTCAGAGTGCTGGGATTACAGGTGTGTGTCACCACGCCTACCTCATGTTTGCATTTTGTTAGTCTTTTTTCCTGCACTAGAGAGTCAACTACAGGAGGGTACAAGCTTCTGTCTGCCCAGCTGTGTCTCAGATGCCTACCATAGTGCCTGGATCACGGAAGGGACTCAAAGTATTTGCTGAAGGAAGGAATGAATAAGTGAGCTAGTGAACATGACTAGGCTCCAGGGCGGTCATCTCAGACATCTCTCTGGTTTTCTCAGGTTATGCCATGTCTGTTTTCCTCTTGCAGCTGGGGTCCCCTTAGATGGTGGTGGTTGTGGGGAGAGCCACATACTGCCAGGGCACAGGATGCTGCCTGCAGGGCACTCACTGTCAGGCAGTCCACAGAAGAGTGGAAAGCAGGCCAGGCGTGTCTGTAACTCTGCTTTTATTTGATGTGAATACACAGGCCTGGGCCGAGTTTACCAGGTGGGTTATGGGTGGCTCCTCATGGGCGACGTCAGCCTTGCCGGAAGCGTGGGTCAGCAAGCAAGGGACAGTGCCTCTGAAGGGAGAGTGTCGCTGCCCCCTTGGGCCTCACCCACAGCGGCCACCCTTTGGAGTAAACATTTCCCAGCATGCTGCAGGTGTACTTGGACCAAAGCCTCTCTGAGTCTGATGAACCCAGATGGAATCAAGCAGGCAGGTACTACTGCTTTCTGCAGGTTTAACTTTGAGAAAGATTCATTTTTCCAAACTTCTGTTTTGCAAACTTCTGAAGTTTATGACCAGTAGTCTTTGGAGGCTCTGAGGGAGGCAAGACTGGGCCACCAGCTGAGGTATTCCAGAAACTTCCTAGAATAAGGGAGAAAATGAAAGAAGCCATGGAAACCTCACATGCCCACCATCCCCCTTTTCTCAGAAACAGCATTTGCCATGTTTAAAAAGCAGAATGGTAACCAGATAAAGATCAATTTCCTTTTTATCTAAGAACAAAGAAGTTGGAAAATGCTTACACTTGTGCATTTGAATAGAACAGAAAGTGTTACATGTTATAAATCACCGAAGTAAACATCCATTATGACAATGTAAAAGTGGAGATTACATGAGTAATTAAACATCAAAATCTAGTTATTTGTTAATAAATGATTGCATGTGGGGCTCAAGTGGTTGAGATGCACCAAACTGCCTTCCCCTTTGCTCCTTGTGTTTTTGTGTTTCCAGATGACCCGGCCAGAGGACAACAGTCTATCAAAGAAAAATACATGTTGTCCAAAATGCCATCTTTTAAAGTTTTTCTACAATGGATCCATACCAGTGCATTTAAAAATCCAACATGTAATAAGTGCATTTTAATTGGTTGGGCTGTAAGAGGGCCCATTCTCTGTATTTTTCTATCACACTCCATCTTTATTAGAAATCTTGATTGTGTGACATCGACTGATAAAAAACCATTTTCCTTTCTTTCTCCACTGCATTAACTTAATTACTGCTCTTCTTCTCCCAACACCTGTTTATTAGAGAGACGCTGAGTGGATACACCAGTCAGATTGCTCTGAACACCTGGGGGCTGGGAGAGAGAGAGCCTGCAGGTAGCCAGGATGTGTCTGCTGTCCCCCAGCTTCAGCCAGAACCACAGCAGGACTGAGGGGAAGCGACTGCAGGTCCCTGGAAGTCCCCAGTGCCAATCAGAGCCTAGAGGCTCCTCCAGTCCAACCCTTGGCAGGGTACATATTGATTGCTGCATAGCCTGGGGAAGCTGGGCCTTGCCCTAGGGTGATGAGGCCCCAGATCACGGGTTAGAGGCAGTTTCTCTTCCAGAGCACAAGGGTTGTGGTCTGAATTCAGAGCCAGTCAGTATAGGAGGAAAGAAGATTGTATCAGGGTTCTCTGGAGAAATGACCAATAGAGATTATATGATCCTATGTCGAGTAACGATGCTTTGATCAATGATAGATTGAATATGTGATGATGGTCTGTAAGATTATAATGGAACTGAAAATTCCTATCACCTAGTGATATTGCAATGGCAAAGCACAGCTTGTTATGTGTCTGGGGGGGTGTTGGTGTAAACAAACTTGCACTGCCATGTGTATAAAAACACAGCACACGCAGTTATCTACAGTGCATAATGCTCAACCATGATCACAAATGATTATGTTACGGATCTATGTATTTACTATGTTGTATTTTGATATTTTAGAGTGTATTCCTACCTTTGTGTGTGTGTGTGTGTGTGTGTGTGTGTGTGTGTGTGTGTGGTACTGGGCCTTCTATCTTTTTTCTTTTCTGAACCCATGGCCTACCCACTAAACAACCCTGCCATTAACTTACTTGTTTATTTATTTTTGAGACAAGGTCTTGCCAAGTTGCTAAGTTGCCCAGGCTGAGGTCAAACCTGTGATCTTCCTGCCACAGCCTCCCAGAGAGCCTGGATTACAGGGATGTGCCACCATGCCCGGCTAGAGTATACTCTTACTTATAAAGAAAAGTTTACAGTAAAATAGTACATGGTGTGATATCAGGAGACTCCTTCATGTTGTGCTTACTGTGTCTCTTGCTCACATCAAGAGGCCACATCCAGTGACTGACCTACACCATCTCAGCTTGTGTAAGTGCCCCTGTCATGTCCAAACAAGGATGAAATTGCCTAATGACGCCTTTCACAGAATGTATCTCCTTCGTTAAGCAATGCATGATTCCCTGTGTGTGTGTGTGTGTGTGTGTGTGTGTGTGTGTGTGTATGCATGCATTTATGATAAGAAATTGGCTTGTGTGATTATGGAGGCTGGGAAGTCCCAAGATATGCAGTTGGCAAGCTGGAGACCCAGGAGTGTGGATGGTCTAAGTTCTAATTTGAATCTGAGTCAAATGCAGAAGAATGATGTCCCACCTCAATAAAGGCAGACAAGGGAAGCAATTCTTCCCCAGTCTCCTTCAGCAGACTAGAGGAAGCCCACCCACATGGAGGGCAGTCTGTTGGGTCTACAGATTTGAATGTTAATCTCACCCAGAAATACCTTCCCAGACACATCCAGAATAATCTTTAACCACATATTCAGGTGCTGGGGGACTGAGTCAGGTGGACACATAAAATTAACCATCACAGAGATGCATGGGTAAACATTCAGCTATAACTTGCAGTGGGGACAGTGGGGAAGCAGAGCTGTCCCCAGAGTCTCCCCCAAGGTGAGCCAACCATCGAAGTGGCTGCCCATGAATGAGTCTGTTCTTTCCCTCCATTTCCCCTCCTCTGGCTGCATCTCAGAAGGTCCTTGGAAATGTTTTAGAGGGTCCAGTGGACTTGTTTCAGTGGGCAGCCAACAGGCAGGTGCTGATGAGCCCCTGAAAGGCCAGGGCATGCACTTGCTACCTGAACCCAGATAGGGCATCACTTCATTCATGCTCTCCAGGCTGGGTTACTTGTGTGGCCCATGTGTATGGGTTTCCCAGGAGAGGGCTGTGGTCTCAGCAGTGACCATCACAGAGAAACGCAATAAGCAACTTCACCGATGAAAACTTGGAGGTCCTAAAGTTCAGCAACTTATTAAAAATAAATCGCATTAGTTTCCCCCCCTCTCAAATTATGTGGGTGGTTTATTAATCTGGTTTTGATGTGCTGCACGTCTGGATCCAGGCTTGGGTTGGGAACTGGATCCACACAGGGAAATAAGCAGTGATTTTTCAGGGCTCTCAGCCACTGTCCAAGGCCTTGGCTTCTGGTTGAAGGGCATGTGGATTGCTGGCCCTCCCAAAGCAACAGGGTGCTCTCTGAGTCACCCACAGGGGCTGCTTTCCTAGCCCTCATGGGCATTCTCATCACCAGGCACGAGGTTTTCCTTTGTACAGGACCAAAGAGAATTGTGGAAATGAGACACTTCTCAAAAGGCTGCACACCCAGCAGGGACTGGGAGGACCCCTGGGAGTCATCTTGCCTCATGGCCGAGGCTGTGTCTACATAGGATGAGAGCAGCTGACTGAAGACTGAACAGTCCAGACAGGGTAGGGACAGGGTAGCAGCAGCAGAGTGGAGGGAGCCACTGCTTTCTATAGAGGCCCACCTGCAGGTACTGTGGGAAGCTGTGCCTGCCATTCTGCTCCTGGTCCTCACAGCACCGTAGTGATCAGGGCTTGATCCTCTGCTCTGGTGCAAGGGAAGGAAATGAGTCTCAGAGATGTGCAGCTGCCCATTCAGAATTGCCCAACCTGGGATGACTGTCATTCAGATCTGCCTAATTTGGAATGCCAATCTCTTAACCACTGCACTGTATTGTTATTATTACTTTTCTGAGTGAAGTTCTTGCTTGCTTTAGGGAATTAATGCACCATTTCTTTGACAGCGTGTGCCTACACCATAACCAGCAGGAGAGGAGGAAGTGACTTGTCCTCACAAATTGTGTTGACGCAGCCTCCAGGTGACTTAAAAGGGAAGTACTGTGCACCCCGGCTCCTCTTTACCCCTACCTCAGACTGGCCCCATATGCCTCAGTTTCCCCACTAGCACAGTGACATCAGCAAGATGGTGAGGAAGGGAAATAGGCACTGTATCATGTGCAGGTGCTCTGAGCCCCGGGGAGGGACATGGGGTGGATTCAATCCTAGCAGTAGAGGCGATCAGCAGCTTGTACCATAGAATCTGCCTCTCTTCCCCCAAAGCCTCCCAGGCACTGGCTGGTGCATAGATGCTGGTGGACGTGGGGGCTTTGGCTGGCCTAACCCAGGTGCCCCGTGCCTGGTGTATGCACAATCTCCCACCCCACCTTTTGTAGTACTGAGGATTGAACCCTGGCCCTTTGCACTGGGCTGTATTCCCAGCCCTTTTTTATTTTGTATTTTGAGACAAGGTCTCCATAAGTTGCTAAGTTTCTGTGGCTCGGCTCAAACTCGCCATCCTCCCATCTCGTCCTCCCCAAATGCTGGGATTATAAGCGTGTGCCACCACACCTGGCTTATACCTTCCCAGTGATGCTTTCATATTCTCTCTCCTGTGCAAGGTGACCAGGCTGTTTTAAACACATGGAATACACAGAAAAACACATTAAATACATTTCCCCAAATGCATTGGCTAAATGGGAGTTTTTCCTATCTTCTTTCCAACAAGGAATGTGTCTAGCATTGTCCTTAGCATGGGAACAGTTACCTGAGCAATCATTAAAAAACATTCTCCAAAGAGAGATGATTCTCCTTTTGTTTTTAAGTTAAAATTCCACCATTTTTCTATTTCTAAGACAAACTAAAAACCCGTTTTGCTCCTCTACAGCCCTTCATCTTTGCTCTTCCTGCCTTAATGATATCCCAAACTTTTGTTGAAAATAATTGATTGAATTTAAATTTCCTTAAAAGTTTAAGAGGTAATGTTACAGTATAAATTTCCTACCAAACACTAAGTAGGGAAATATCCATTAGTGAAATTAACTACAGTTTCTAGGTAGCTAACAATGTGCCGTATACAGTAGGGCATGGCTAATGAACACTGCAGTGGGTGATATTTCATTATACAAATTAATGCTCACATTTTAATGGGAAAGTCACATAATGAATCTCGGCTTCAGTGACAGCAATTAGAGACACAGATTGTCCCCTTCTGGACAAGGCACTGTTTAGCAATAAGCAGCTGTGTGAAAAGTCTTCAGGTTTACAACATATATATGCTTTGGGGGAATTAGTGTACAATTTATATTAATGTACTGAAGCTTCATTGCAAAGGCTCCACTGTATTTATCTCTCCTGGTATTAACTAAGTAAAGACATATAGGAAGACTAAATAAATATCAAATCGAGGGTGCAAATACGAGAAAAAAAATATCAGTTGCTCAACTTAAAAGTAGGAACACTTTTGGAGATTTAGCATAAAAAAAAGAAAAAAGCTGTTAGAAACATGAATCACTTCCTAAAAGCTTAATAAAGGGGTTTCCAAAGAGAATAATATGAATCCACCTGTTATTTTTGGAGAGGCGCTGTTGGAAACTTGCTCTCAATAGCTCCAAAACAACTCCCCAGAACAGTGAGGGTTCCTTTGATCTATCAAGTGCAGAGTGAATGCTCAGAATAATAAAAGATATGATTATGTAAAAATAGGTACAATGAACTAATTAAACCAACTGGTCATATATTTCTAAAACTTTATAACTTGAAAGAAGTTACCAATGATATTCCAAAGTTGAATATATATCTCATGCCATATGTCAGTAGGAAGCTGGCTTAATGTAAGATGGTTCCAATAATTGTGTAGTCTTCCCAAATGATGAACTGATTATTAAAAATTTTTTTATTATGCCTCTTCTAGCAATATTCTTTTTTTTTTTTTTTTGGAAATGTATTATTTGGGCCCACACATCTTATGACTTTAGAATATTTTGAGAGGGTTCCCTGGAGAAGGCCGCCAAGGTCCTTACCTAGTTTCTCCAGCTGGGGAATTTCAATTCCTGCATATTCTAATCCCAGCCACTAGTTTCAAACTGCCTGCCTTTCCAGACCCAGTGTGCAGCCTAGGGTACTTTGGGCCTCTTGGTGTTTGAAAAAGTTTTGAAGTAGGCAGCGATAAGTAAAAATGGAGATATTACATGCAGACATTCGGATAAAAGACTTTGCTTAGAAAGTCAGAGTGCTGCATGTCCACTGCCGGCTCGAATTGAGTGGTCTTCTCTCCAGGAGAAGCAGTTGCCCTATGCCCAGCTGATCTGCCGGGCCCTCGAGACACCTGAGTGTGTGGCCTCTACAATAGGTAGACACAAAAACAGCCACTCCCAGACATCACAGAGGTGACCCCTCATGACCCCCTGAAAGCTTGAGTCAGACTGAGGGATCCCTCCCAGGAGATCTGGAGTCCTTTATAGCCTAAGTGACCAATCCTTCAAGTAGGCAGGGCCTGGATTGCCTGTGGCAGGAGTCAACACAGAATACCTGTCCGAGTCTCAGGAAGTCTGGCCTCAGTTGGGAGGGACTGGGCAGTCCCCCTGCTGGCTTCTTGCAGAAGTCTTGCTATGCTTGCAGTCCGGGGGTTGCCAGAGTCATTTGAGAGGGCTTGGCTTGAAGAGTGCCTCCATTTCCTGAGGCCTTGACTGCACAGTGGCTCAGCGTAGGTGGACTCAGCGTTTGTCTGTGCTGGCCTCATGGAGCAGCAGACCTTGACCGCACCTCGGAGCCTGTTCAATTTGCTGATGGGTCTTTCCTCTCAACTGTTACCCAGCCCAACCAGGTCAATGTTGTGAAAAGTTTGCCTCCCGAGCACTCTGAGATGTGTCCTTTGGGGAAAGGATGCTTAGGGAACAGCTGGAATGCTTCCAGTGGAAATGAGAGCCCCTGGGCTACTCAGCCTCCTCTGGAAGGCAGGCTCACCCAGACCACTTCCATCCCCACGTCTGACCCAGCAGGGGCTCACTTTAGTGTTCAGGCACTTCCCTGTGCCCCTCACTGGGGAAGAAGCTCTGGAGAGGTGAGGAAAGCTTGTAAGACCGAGGCCAATGGTAGTTGTTCACATCACTTAGGGATTATGAAAAGAAATTAAACTTGAGGTTTCTTTTTTATTTTAAAAAAATCACAAATCCAAAAAATATATCCCAGGGAATTCTGGAGCATTTATGGGGGAACCAGGGTGACAGGAAGCAGCCACCCAAGCAAAGGCCTTTAGGAATCAGGAAGGAGATGGAGCAGAATTAGAGGAGGGTGGGTAGAATGTGGGTAGAGGTCCAGGCTTCTTCAGAGCTTTAAAGAGCAGGGGAATAAGTGAAGAGACCTGTCCCCCTGTGTGCTGCGATGCCATTTTTGTGTGAGTGGAAGTGTGAATTCTGCTTGCTGTAATAGCTGCATAGTGAGTGTCTTCCAACAGCCAGGAGAGGAGCGAGGGCACTCTCTCTAGGCCTCTGCACTCAGTGCTTAGTGTCATGCGCAGTGCTTGGTAGGTACGAGGAACTCACTAATCCATTGGCTCATTCAAAGGCTGTGTGAATGAATCTGGGTTTTAGGAGATGTGGGTACATACAGGTGTATACACACAAGTCTCTGACTTATGCAGAGGAGTTCATTTGGCTCTTTTTTTTTTTTTTTTTTTTGATGTACTAGAGATTCAACCCAGAGCCTTCCTATGAAACTATATCCCCAGCTTTTTAAAAATTTTTATTTTGAGACCATGTCTCACTAAGTTGCCCAGACTTGGCTCAAACTTGCTATCTTCCTGCTTCAGCCTCCCAGAGTGCTGGGATTATAAATATGTGCCACTGTGTCCACTTTTAACTTGAGTTTAGTATTAGCATGAAGCCTCAGCGGACACATGGCCTAACACCTCACATTACAGGCTGAGGAAGCAAACATCCTAAGATTAGGATCCTGTGTCCAGCAGAACGCAGAGTAGCAAGGGATGTCTGGTCCCCTGACCAGACTCCCCAAATACTTTCTGGGATCTAAACTGTCTTCCTTGTTAATCCATGCCACAGAGCCCCCTAAGAGCATGCAGTGGTCCTTACCCAGGCTCCAAAGAGGGTCAGCTAAAGAGTTTGGAAAGATCCCAAACCTCAGTGTGTAACTTCTGCCAATTAACTCAGAATCTGGGGAGACAGGGCTGGATGTTAGAACTTTTTACAGCTCCCCCAAGAAATTCTGTTCTGGTTTTGCAAAGTGCAGTCTTCACAGCATCCGCACCTGCGTGAACAGGGACTCTTGTTACAAACACTGACTTCTGTTCTGCCCCTGACCTAAGGAACCAGCATTGCCACCCCTGGGCCCAGATCTCCTGTTGTGACAAACACCTCTGCAGGTTCTCAAGCATAGTGCACTTTGAAAACCACCACTCCAGTGTGCATTTCAAATGTGTGGCCCTGGGAAATGCACACACATATCCTTTGTGTGTCCTGTGGTACCCCCCTCCCAAGAAAAGCAGCTCCCACTTGCCTCAGGCCTGGACTTGAAAGTCCACATTCTCCCTCTTCAGCTCCTGCTAATGAAGACCTAGGCTTTCTTTCCAATCCCTTCGCCAGATGAACTTAATCACTTCCAGGTGCATTTGCCCAGTGCAACCTGAGGCTCTACAGTACCTGTGGGCCTCCCTTTTGCTGGCTTTTAGTCCCTGAGCCCCCCACAGGGCCTGCCCAGACCCCCCCCCACACACACACATACACACACACACACACACACACACACACACACACACACACACACGGGCTGCCCTGACCCATAGGCCTGGCCTGGCTCTCCGGATCTGAGCCCAAGTGCACCCCCTTAGCTGTAGGCACTGCCTCTACTGCACCTGGCCAGTGGGCTTCCAGGTAAGCTGAGTCTGCTGGAACATCAGCTGCCCAGAGGTATTCTTTCCCAGATACGGCTTCCTGTCTAAGTGGATCTGAATCCAATACAGGGATGGACTCCAAGGAGTAGGAAAATGATGCCTAAAGCCATTTGTACCTTTATCTCCAAGGGGATACAGTCTTCCCCCAACATTCACACCACTGGTCTACCTAGAGACCACTGTGAATTTATGGTTAGAGAAATAGATTCTCAGGTAGTTGCTTTTCCTAGACCAGAGGAAGATCTCTAAAGAAGGGTCTCAGGGAGATTTTAGCTTCCTGTTGAGCTCTGGAGTGTCACCCAGAGATGATAGGTTGTGTCCATTGCTCAGAACCTGGACTTATGGTCGTCTGGTTTACAAACTCCAGGTCCCCAAGTGCCCTATGCCTAGAGAATTGGGAGTCATGGCATTGGCTGAGACTAGACACAGTGAAATGTGTTCACAACATACCATTCACCAATGATTTGCTGTTGCTTTTTAAATCAGTCTGTTGTACAGTAGAACAGAGGAACTGTGTGTGTGTGTGTGTGTGTGTGTGTGTGTGTGTGTGTGTTTGTGTATGTAGGAGGGGTGGACAGTTAATAATTGTGGATAGTGACAGGGTGCTATTGTGAATAAGCTAACTGGGACTGTCATAGTTCCTATTCCTTCCAGAGAGCTTTTTGGTTGAAAAGTCTAGAAAAGACCCAGGATTACTTAAAAAATTCCTGGACCATATTTAAATCCACATTTGCCTATCTTCTTTTCCTCCTCTATCCTACAATGCCAGCACATGTAAGTTGTCTGTTATGATATCTCTCCCCATCGTGGAAAGAACAATAGAAGTTGGGTGTTGAATTTAAATAAATATTTAATTCTTGAAAATTATCTTATATGTTTTAAAACACTCTTTAAAGCTATTTTTATTCTCTAGAAAGCGCTTATTATAGGTAAATTACGCATTTTACTACCGGAGCATTAGGTTTGCCATTAGTACAAATTTAAGGCACTACAAAGACCAGTAGATAATGTTAATTTCAAATACAGAAACTAAATATATTTTGTGCCTTTTTATTACTCATTTTCTTTTAAGTTTTATTGACTGCTTTTTATCTTAACTATATGTCTTTACATGCTGCAATCATAATGCACTGTAATGGTATTAATATTTTATAGAATCGGTATTTATAGTTCTTTATTTAGGAACAATGCAGTAGGTCTGCAGATATCTGAGCCCGTCTGGAATGGTGCCCTCCAAATAATGATAAATTACTTGTGCAGTATGCCATTTGCTAATTATATCCATGATTTACTGCAGAGCAAGACTTAAATCATTCATTTCAGTCTTGCGTAACAGTGCCATAAAATTTTTAGGTTTAAAAATGGTTTCCATGTGTATAATTTACACAAATTTTAGAGCTATTGTATACACAAAATATTGCAACCACCCATTTGTTACATACTTTGTCTTTTTAAACTTCTACTTTTAATGATCACTGTGGTTGAAATTATTATGCTTAATTTTCATAATCATAGCTTTTAAATCTACAGCCGTTTTCACATGTTAGATAAAGAAAAAGATAGCTAATTGTGTGTAGATAGTATGTCATTCCTGAATAGTCCCAAATGGTACAAAATCATTAAAAAACCTTAAGAGTACAAATTATTCTTCTATTAAAAAACAGTTGTTCTCTAATTATTAGTTTGAGCTGCTTTGTTGCAGAGAACAAATGTTGATCCTTCTACCCTTGTTCTGCACTCTAAAATGAGATAAACACTTTTGCTTTTTCTTATATCAAAATCTTGCAGGTGAGAAACCCTACAAGTGTCCTCACTGCGACTATGCCGGCACCCAGTCAGCATCCTTAAAATACCACTTGGAACGACACCACCGTGAGCGACAGAATGGAGCTGGACCACTGTCTGGACAGCCCCCAAGCCAAGACCACAAGGATGAGATGTCTGGCAAAGCCTCCTTGTTTATCAGGCCAGATATTCTGAGGGGGGCCTTCAAAGGTCTCCCCGGAATTGACTTCAGAGGTGGCCCTGCCTCTCAGCAGTGGACATCGGGAGTGCTGTCCTCTGGAGATCATTCTGGGCAGGCCACCGGTATGTCTTCTGATGCTCCTCCAGATGCCCTAAAAGGGGCCGACCTTCCTTCCAAAAGCGCCCACTTCTCTGAGATTGGAAGAGCTTATCAAAGCATCATGAGCAATGGTGTGAATTTCCAAGGGTCCTTGCAAGCGTTCATGGACAGTTTTGTCCTTAGCTCCTTGAAGAAGAAGGACATGAAGGACAAAGCCCTGTTGGATCCCCTCTCCATGAAAGTCCACGGAGCAGAAGGCAGTGAGGAGAAATCCAGTGGTAAGTCTTCCCAGAGGAAGTCTGAGAAATCTCAGTACGAGCCTCTAGACTTGTCTGTGCGGCCAGATGCTGCCTCCCTCCCAGGCTCCTCGGTGACAGTCCAAGACAGCATCACGTGGCACGGCTGCTTGTTTTGTGCTTTCACAACATCCTCCATGGAGCTCATGGCCCTTCATCTCCAGGCCAACCACCTGGGCAAAGCAAAACGCAAAGATAATGCCACTGGAGGGACAGTCAACTGCAAAGAGCAGGTGCGGGAGGCCGGTAAGATGGCCCTGCTGACCTCGGTACAATCAAACAAAGAGATGGGCCTTTCCAGTACGATGGGCTCACTAGACTCTGTGTCAGAGAAGATGGCCCAAGGACAGGCCAAAGAGACTCTAGGGGACCAGAAGAGTGGCCCATGGCCCAGCCATGTGGACCCTTCATTTTGTAACTTCCCACCTGACTTCTACAAGCAGTTTGGTGTTTACCCGGGCATGGTTGGCTCAGGGGCCTCCAGTTCCTGCCCCAACAAGGATCCTGATGGGAAAGCCCACCTGGAAGATGATGCCCCAATCCTGATCCCCGAAACCACAAGTAAGAGCACTGCTGATGACCTCTCAGACATCGCCTCCTCCGAGGACATGGATTCCTCCAAGGGAGAGAACAATGATGAAGAAGATCTGGAGACTGAAGCAGAAATGATGAGCAGCAAGCCTCTGCCTGCCCTCAGCAAGGACAGCAGCAGCGATGGCGGGGACAGCCTGTTGCCCACTGGCACCCCTCAGCCGGTCCAGGGACTCATCTCACCCTTAGCCCCAGCATCGGAGAAGCAGTGGCACAGCCCAGGCCTCCTTCCTGCCCAGGACCCCTCCGGGGGCCTGCCCAAGCCAGAGCGGGGGCCCATGGGCCTAGAGAAACCGCTGAACATGCTGTCGGTCCTCAGGGCCTATAGCGCCGATGGCTTAGCAGCCTTTAACGGACTTGCAAGTAGCACAGCGAATTCTGGATGTATCAAGAGGCCAGACTTGTGTGGTAAGTTTTAGAATCCTCTTCCTTTAGTTCATTTCCCAAAACATCAGTGCTAAATGATGCATTAAAAAAATGAGGTAGACTTATGCATTAGCAAATTTCAAAGGAAACTTAAAAAAGAAAAAAAAAAACCAACGCTGTATATGCAGTGTAGACAATCATACAAGTCAATTTCACTTAGAAGTTTTAAAACTCATACTTTTATATTCTAATCTACATTATAACACTCTCAAAGGCCTGTACAGATGGCATGGAAAAGGGGGTGGCAAAGGGAGTGGCATCTCAAACTTCTCCTACTTTCCATCCATACATTGAGGAGGGGAAGAAAAACTACTTTCAAAACAAGAAACAAAAAGAGAGATGGTAACTTGCAAACTTTTCAGTATTTTCAACTCATGCAAAAAATGCCTAAAAACAGCTCTTTACTGCTTTCCTAAGCCAAATTTGCTTTCTAAAACTTTTCTTTTATTGACTTAGAGGATACTAAACCATATCACACTAACAACAGTGTAGGAAGAAAATGACCCTCTGTCCAAATAGGAAGATGCTTTTGGGTGTTTGTTGATTGATCTTTAGACATACCAAATGGTAGTTACCGTGACTGTTGCCTTTTGTGTGTCTGTCCCATCACCTGTCTGTCTGTCTTTCTAACAGGAAATGTACATGCTGAAGTCTCTGATAAGCAGTGTTGTGACCCTATGTGTCTTGGATTTATGCTTGTCTGACCTTGTAGCAAATTGATACTCCTTTATGGTTACCCCAAAGTCATTCCAGATTTGAAAATATAACCCTAAATTCAAAGCTTAAAATCAGATGCAGGGAATGTTGGGGTGGGGGCAGGGAGGATCAATCTCATTTTCTTGGTACCCAGATGTCCATCTGAAAGCTTGACTCTAAAGGAAAGCTCAGTGTTTATTCCCAGTGAAACCAACCGCAAATATTCCCACTAGAGATAAATGACCATTTCCATCTTTAATTTATGAACGATTTATAGTTTTATTTCATCTGAAGAAGGAAGGGAGAAAAGAAGGAAGGAAAAGAAGGAAGGAAGAAAGGAAGGAAGGAAGAGGGGAGGGAGGGCAGAGAGACAAGGGAGGGAGGGGACATGGAAGGGAATATTTTTGAATCTCAGCATCCTGATATTTCTTTTAGCACAGAGCAGAATTCCAGAAGCTAAACTCTGGGTCCATAATTTAAATTGATGTATTTCATTTTCCCTCTCCTTTCCTAATTCACTAAGAACTGGATCAAGCAGTTGGAAATATTTTTTGAATTGTCAAAAATCACTAAATGGATTTCTGACAGCTCAAAAAAATATTGACAGTTTCTTATGCTGAATGATTCACAAGGCCCTATTAACCAGTACCCCCGGATCTATTTTTAGCCATATCCAATTCATTACTTTTGAAGCTGTTAAAAACAGTATTTAAAAGAAGAAGAAAAGGACTTTATGTCAGTCCAATTTATTTTCCCTTTTCTTCTGGGGGAGCAAAAATGTACATCTTTTCTCATTTGTTGTTTTAAGTTTATGGTTGGAATGGTTGCTTTTTTATTGTTGTTTGGGGAGTTTTTTTTAAAGTCTATTTTCAGTTCTTTTAACTACCTAGTAGGACCATAGTTTCTGCCAGGAATCCATGCATCAGAAAAGATCAAAATCTGGCATATGCATAGGCTCATTATTATTGAAATGAGCTCGTATTACCCCTATTAATGTTCCACCTTCCTATCAATGCTGAAGAAGGCTCCCTGCCTTGAGGCAGCAGGGTAGAAGAGAAAGCAGCACAGGAAACATGCTTGGTCTGGTGAGCTCTTACCTCTGAGCTGCGTGCTCTTAGGCACGTCTCACCCCTCCCGAACAGCAGCTCTCAACACACCCTGTGCTCCCTATGCAAAGAACTTTGCTTAGTCAACCTCCCAAACGCTGCGCACCTGACCCTGGGATGCAGCCTCTCTCTTTCAAATTAGCTGAAGAATCTCAGACCAGCCAGGATAGAAGGCTTACTGTTTGCTTCCCCAGGAGAGGGTCCAGGTCCCCCTATTCTAAATGGCAAAGGAACCCTGGCCATAGACCACCTGTGTTAGAGAATATGGGTTTTGCATTTCACTTGGCCTCTTTTCTTCTGCATCTTTCTGCTGTAGTTTGGAAGCAGGCAGGGAAGGTCCTTCCCTGTCCTTCACATTTTCTTAGGGTGGAAGACACTGTGCTCTTGGACAGGATGGGCCGAACCCTGTCCAGTACTCATTTCCCTACTCCATATCTGGGTCCCCGTAATTGCAACCTTTTCATGTTCTTACTGTGATAGTGGGGTCCCAGGACTCCAGAAGGCCAGACACAGTCATCTTTGCTAATAGTTAACATCTCAGAGGAAAACTTAAATACCCCAAGTTATGAAATTCCCCTCAAAGAGCCTAGTTTACTCTCTTGGTAGCATTACACAAAGCACAAGTGACAGTTGTAAGCTTCAAATCCTCACTGGCTTCACTTTGCAAGGGTGGAAATGATATTGGCACAAAGAATAAAATATTTCTATCATGCATTCCCTCTTCTCTCCTCCATTTAAAGTACATATAGGTTTTCAAGTTTGTTCACCAGTTTGACAGCTTGTCTTCCCCCAAAAGTTGTATTTTGCCAAACTAAGGGTTTTTCCTGCTCCTCCTCCCCCTCCTCCCCATCCTCCTCCTTCTTCTTCCCCTTCCCCTCCCTCTTCTCCTCTCATCTCAGATCTTCCTCTTCTTCTTTCTTCTTTCTTCCTTCTTTTCTTTCTTTCTTCCTTCCTTTCTTTCTTTGTTTCTTTCTCTTTCTCTCTTTCTCTCTTTCTCTCCTTCTCCTTCTCCTTCTCCTTCTTCTCCTTCTTCTCCTTCTTCTCCTTCTTCTCATCTCAGATAGAGTTTGGAGTCTGTTTCTTGTCTGGATGCAAGCTCAGACCTTCATTTAGATTTCGCAAGAAACAGGGGGAAGAATTTATGTCCCTCTGCTTAAGGAAGAAAAATATTTGAAGAAATGTAAATAAAATCCTTGTTCTAATCAGGTAGACCTCTTGGGTCCGAGGAGCTCCTGTTGTACCTGCTGGTGAGCTCAAGGATATGGCTTCTCAACCTAAATCTGTGGGTGATTCTTGTGTTGGGAGGATGTAGTCTCAGGCACTTCCTTAAGCACTGCCTCTCTGCTTCCTAACTTGTAGACCTAGGGTCCTGGCCAATGTGCATTGCCTGTTCATATCCAGTGCATTTTAAACTCCAGTGCAGAAGAGAGAGCCAACGTGGAAGAGGCTGTCTTAGCTTGGTGATTAGGGAGAGTTCTGTAGCCTAGGCCAGTACTGGAGCATGAATTTCCAAAAGATCTTCCCACAGAAGGTAGCACATTAGCATATGAGGAGCATGTGACAGAGGATCCCAAGAAAGAAATCGAGCCATCATGGATTAAACTGAAGGACAAGTATTGTTGCAATTAGATTGGGCAGGTCCCAGGATGGGTCTGACCCTTTTACATGAAATCCTGCTGTCATCCAGACCTCAGCTTCCTGGGGTGACTTCCAGGCTCCAGGCATAGTCCTCATTTCTGTACTCTGTTAAAAAAAATGATGAAAAAGGGCACTGCAGTGCCATCAGAGAACTTGGCTGTGCCCTTGGCTTTGTTGGAATGATTTTGACCTTGGGTTTGCAAGGAGACAGGCTCCACAGGCTCTGCATGGTATAGCAACATTTACACCCACTGACTGGGAGAGACAGATGAGCCCCTGTTCCAGTCTGAGAAACAAAGATGGACATGTTGGTCAGCAGATAGCTTAGAGGTCCAAGTGAGTGTAAAAGGCACAAGTTTTACTGTGCCTGCAGTCAGTACAAAGGCCAGTCTGCAAAGCATCTTGTACTGGCTACATGGAAAGAGTAAAGACCATGTTCCGCCCCAGACCTGGTGCAAGTGAAAAGCAAACCGCTCACCCTTTCTCCTTGCTTTTTGAAACTGAGACAGATGGCCAGGGTGTGGAATTGCTGTGTTGGGTTTCATAAGCAGGTTTTGCTCTGTGTCCTTTGGTGAGCCTCCAGGGGTAGGATTGATGGGGAAAAATTTGTCAGATTAAGAGAAAGGCAGGGAGGGAGAAAAGCACAATTCCTTTTCCCCGAGATGCTCTGTCCTGGAGTTACCCGGCAACTCCAGAAAGCCCAGCAGAGCAAGGGAACTTTATCAGCGTGTGATCGTGGGCATTATGTCCTGTATGCAGTGGCTGCAGGCCAAGTGGGAGGACCACTGAGAGGGCAAGGCCATCAACAGGAACCCTACCAAGAGTTCCGATTTTTTATCCTCAGAAGCTGGTTCCCTAACCCAAATTCTGCCTGTGATAGTGCAATAAGGGTCCTCTGGGCTTCTGCAGCAGTGAGAAAATTGAGAACCTCCCTCCTCACAAAAAGATAAGGCCCAGTGAATTCTCTTCACTAAAAATAAGTGATGGGATGAACCAAGATAACTAAACTAAACTCTTAAAATGTGACTTTTGTCCTCCTATGATTTCTAGCGTAGAAGGTCTGAACACACTCCCCCTTTTCCCAGCTGCACAATGTAAAACAGAGGGCACAACCAATGCTTTCTTAAAGAGCCAGAGGGTAAATATTTTAGGCTTGAATGCCATGTAGTCTATGTGCTCCTCAGCTCTGGCTCATAGCACCAAAGCAGCCATAGACAACAAGCAATCGAAGGGGTGTGGCTGTGTTCCAATAAAACTGCATGAACTCAAACAGTGGGCAGGCTAAAATTGGCCCATGGGTCATAGCTTGCCTGCTGTAGTTTAAAGAAGATGTGTTCCTGTGGTCCTCCCTAGTACAGAGATGCCGAAGCTGTTCCCTGTTGTTGCCTTGGATGGTGAGACCACACAGAAGACCTGTGCAACGATGGGGCTTCGGCTAAGGCTGTGTAATACCAAAGACACTTTCCAGAGACAGAGGACCTGTAGACCCACATGGGCCCAGGGTACCTGTGTCTGGAAGGCCACATGTCTCTGCATGCATGA